GCGAAGAAGTTTCTTCGCTGCAGCGACGCACATTTGTGAAAAACTTGGAATTCGAAAAGTGCCAAACTTCACCACGGCGAAGTATCTTTTTTGCCAAGGTGATGTGTCTCTGTTTTTTTCCGCCGCGGCGAAGAAAAATGGGCAAAAATGTACTAAGGAAAATTCGCCGCAGCGAAGATTGTTCTTCGCCGGGGCGATGTGCTACTGTAATTTTTCGCCGCGGCATCGACTGGGTTTGGTTTTAGGGTTTTAGAAATGAAGAACTTCGCCGCAGCGAAACCTGGTTTTTATAAATACCTTGTGCAACCTTTCATTTTTTGCGAAACTTTTCAAATCCATTTGAGAGAAAAAATTTCCAACTTCAATCCAGAGCCTTCCCAGTGATTTCCCAGAAAAGTTTTTCACTCCTTAACCTTTCTAAACACCAAAACAACTTGATCTAACCAAGATCTTTTCGAAAAATTGAAGAAATTTGTGGGTTCAAGAAATTGGGGATTTTGCAATCTAGGATGAATTTTGGCTAAATTAGTGGCGAATAATCCCTTGTTTTGGTAAGATTTCAAGTTCCCTAAGCTTTTAATCGCAATTTTTTGAGTTTTAATTTGTGGATTTGAAAATATTGATTGTGGTTGAGTTGTGAATTTTGGTGATAGTGTGCATTGATTTTATGTTGGCGGAAGTGTTGATTTTGCATTGTGTTATATTGAGGAGTGTGGGCTTTGAATTTTAGAGCATTTGGTTGAGTTTGGAAAAGTTGTAGTTTGGGGGTCTAAGTGCAAATTTTGGAAGTGTTGTTTTACTGCAGGATTGATTGTGGTTGTTCATAGGGCGTTTAGGGTTGAGTTGTTAAGTTGAATTGTTGAGTTGATTGATAGTTTTGGAAAGATGCCGCTCAAAGTGTTGTCTAAGGGTAAAGAAAAAGGAAAGAAAGTAGACAACCAATTTGTGAGTGAGTAGGCTCAAACACGCTATGAAAGGGCAGCCCAAAGGAAAGATAAAGGATTTATTCTTGAGCGTGGATTGACCGCGAGCCAGGCTATGGATTGGAGTCAAGGGAGACATTGGGAACTTTTATGAGTGCACCTATAAAAGCGGTTGTAGAGCCACTAGTGAGAGAATTTTATGCCAACCTCCCGAAGTGTGAATCTGGTACTGTGTTTGTGAGGGGTACTGATGTGGCATCTACTACAAAGGTGATCAAAATTTTATAACTTGCCTAAGATTGACCAGAATGATTATGCAAATTTTAGGAAGACACAGTTTGAGGATGATATCATTCTTTCGGTCATTACGAAACCGAACACCACTTACGAGGTTTCGAAAAAGGGCAAGAAGAGCATCAAGGGAACTAACTTGACACCGGTGGCTCGGTTGTGGCAATACTTTATTTGTGCGAGGATGATACTGGAGACACACTATAGTACGGTGACGTATGAGAAGGCATTACTGCTCTATTCTATTGCCACAAGAAAGAGTATGGATGTGGGACAAATAATCCTGAACAACATTAAGCATACAGCCAAACCAGGGTGAGGGAGTTACCCTTTCCCACATCTCATTACAGCTTTGTGCACTCGAGTAGGAATCGAGGTACATGATGATGAGCCACTTATCCACACTGCCACTTATACACGCTGCCCCAATCCTCGACTCAAACTATTATCACAAGCACCTTGAACGTCCAAACGATGAGCAACCTAGCGTAGGGACAAAACAGCAGCAAACCACACAAGGCGCTGCCTCATCATCCAATTCCACAGCCACCATAAGGGAAATGATGCAGCAGATGATGGGTCAGATGAGACGTATGGCAAAACGTCAGGATTGTCTAGTAGAGTAGACCCAGATGATGTATGAAATGTAGAAGAGTAGCTTCAACAAGCTCAAGGTTGATACTGCAGAATTCTAATGGGCTGATTGGGATTCAGATGAGTGGATGGGCTCCGAATCAGAAGAGGATGATGTCGAAGGAGACGAGGAGGCCGAAGAATGAGCACTTTTTTTAGTTTTTTTTGTATTTCATTTCGAACATTGAACTCAGTTAATACTTTGTGTTTTGGATTGTTTTTAGTTGTTTTAGTTGTTTAATTTTTGTTTTAATTTCGTAGTTGATGTAAAGACAAGATTAGGGTTGTAATATTTTCATATTAGTCAGTTAATTTTTCTAACACAGTGGACACCATAGTTTTCAATTGTTTTTACAGATTTTGGTGATGAAAAAGTCAAGGAACGGGTGTGCACATTGTTGAGCAAAACTTCAACTTCACGAATTAAGTAGGGAACTATCTCGTACTTTGTCGATTTTGTTTTTCTACTCCTAATTTGTGCATAATGTGACATTGGGGACAATGTCGTCTTTAGTTTGGGGGTGGGAAAAATTTGAGAAATTTTTTTTTTTGTAGTTAATTTTGTGTTTTTGTTGTGTATGCCAATGATGAATTGTATAAATCAATGATGAGATTAGGTTGTTGTGATTTTATTATTGAAAAATGTTAAGCATTGCTTCAAGTTTATGTTTATTGACTGAATTTTGATTGAGGTTTGTTGAGTGGTTCAGCCACCATTTTCATTTATTTCAGCATGCTTAGATTCATTTTATGTGGTTAGGTAAAGTTTGATAATGTTGGTGGACTCTATAACTTAGTAGAGAAGTGTTTGAGGCGAAATTCTAGGAATAGACATTGTTGAGGAAATGATTTAGGCATTTTTCGGAACGTTTGAGCCTTTCCAGCCAACCCACGAATGAATTGTTCCCTAGTCACCCACTTGAGCCTTATGAGATTATCATTGCTTTTTATTTTCTTGCAAACCGAAAATTTTCCAAGCCAACTACCCTAAACACTTTATCATACCCTTTAGGAGAATTTTGGACCTAATGCAAACACAAGGAACTTGAAGAGTTATGTGAATGAACTAAAAGAATAGTTGGGGGTTGTGAGATAGGCAAGAAGAATAAGAGAGGTATTTAACCTAAATTGATGTAAAAAAAGAAAAAAAAATATGTTAGTTTGAGAATTGCATTACAATGGCAACAATAAGAATTGTTCGTGGTTGAAGGTTGTTAAATGGTTGACATTTTGAGTGATGGTTGAGAAAAGATGTGGGAGTTGGATTAAGTCTTAGTGTTTGCTTTAAGGAAACCAAATTCTTTTGTTTTTTTATCTTTTTCTTTTCTTTTGGAGCCCACTACCCGAGCCTAATGTTACAAGCTTGCAAAGACCTTTTGATTCTTAGCGATGTCTGATCCTCAGTAGGGAGAGTAGTTTGATATTGCTTATGGAGTCTGTCGCCATTTGATAAATTTACATTTTTGCATAAAATATCTAGGAAGTCAGAAGGTGGATTGAAGTGGGGATCACCTACTCGGGGGACCAAATAGAGAAAGATAGTCGATGCAACTTATAACTTCTTGGAGTGTGAACATTTTTCTAGTAATAATTTTTCAACAATTTTTTAGACTTGTATAAATTCTAGGCAGTTCGTTGTGTTGAGTTGAGTCTTATATTTTTCTTTTTAATATTTTGTTAATTTTTCTGTTTTGCGTTGTTTGGGAGTTTTTTTTTTTTTTTTTTGTTTGGTACCTGATGCTCGGGGACGAGCATGTCTCTAGTTTGGGGTATTGATAATCCGAGGATTATACTGTTTATTTAGGCTTTTAGGCCGGATTTTAGTACTCTTAGTTCATTTATGCCTGAATTATACTTAATTCTTATATTTGTGTTTCAGGCCAAAATGGACATTTTGAGCAAATAATGAGCGAATTGGAGTTTCTGGACTCAGAGTAAGCAAATCTCAGAAGTTGGGAAAGTTCTGAAGCACAGTAAAGCACTATGAAGCTTGTTTCAATGGGAGAGCAACGAAGATTGAAGATTCAAGCAAAGAAGCAAGCGGAGGGCAATTCTGTAATTTTAAACTTCTTCATGAAAATTCGCCGCGGCGAAATGAGTCACGCTCAAGAGTTACTTTTACTTCGTCGCGCGACGAGATTCTTCTTCACCGCGGCGAAGTATACAATTTTCAGTTTCGTTAAAAACGCACTGTTTCTTTTTAGCAAAGTCTGGTTTTTGGGCGAGGTATAAAAGCAAAACTTTGCATTTTGAGAAGGGTCGTGTTTTTCTAGTTATAGAGCAGCTTTTTCATCTTCCTTAGATTAGATTTGACGAATTTGAGTGGAAAAGTGAGAAGATTTGGGATTGAATCTGGTGGATTCTTCAACTAGGGGAGATCTCTTGTCTTTTCTCTCATTTTAATATGTTGAACTTTGTGTTTATTGTTTTTCTTGCTTATTATATTGATTTAGCTATAAACTAACTCATTTTGGGTTAGGGTTTTGATGTAGTTCAGATTCTCATGGATTGAGCAATTGATTTTTATTATTTTCATATGCTATTGCATGGATTGTGTGGTTATTCTGAATTTATTGCTTGTAATTGATGAACATGATGAGATTGAGAAATGAGTCATGTTAAGCTTCTTGGGTAATCACCATTGTAGTATTGAATGCTAGAGATAGATTTAAGAATCAATGAAATCAATCTAGGATTCCATGTGCTTAATGAGCTTAGAACTATTAATCTTCAAATTGTTGGGTGCGGAAGTTTAATAGGGAAAAGTAGGGAAACATAGCCTGAGAACGTATGTTTTACAATTTAGAGAATTCGATTTACAATCAGTGCATGTGAATATGGAAATAGCATAATCTAAAGGTTTAATCCATAGAGTCCGAATGAAGTCAAAACCCTAACTGTTTGTTTGAAGTGATAGTACCTTGTTTTTAATCTTGCTTTCATAAATTAGCTTTAACCATTTAGTAATTTTTGTTTTAGTTTTAAGTTTAATTTTCTCCCATTAATCCAAACAAATTCGCTTGCTCCAACTTGAAAACAGTAGAAAACTTAGTGCTTAGCAACCAATCCTCATGGGAACAATACTCACTCATCACTTTATTACTTTGTGCGACTAGTGCACTTGCTATTTATGCATGTTATAGTTTCAACGCATCAGTATCCATCCGGACCAAGGGCTTTATCATTCGGGATAGAGAATACAGCAATCCTAATCTCATCATCAGTGATAGGAGCAATCAAGGCAGAAATCATATCAGCAGAAATGCGCCCAGAAAAATACCTGGAAGCCTCTACGATATGAGGTTGAATAGGGGCAACAAGAAGATCCTGAAAAAAACCCACCACCAAATGCCCTAAACCTTAAATGTCAATAATATGGGTACCATTCCCATCAGTCAAACCGTGGATTAGTTCCAAACCTGCCTATGGATCAACGACTTATGAAAGAACTTAGTATTCTGATCCCCTAAGTTCAGCCACTGAACACGAGATCGCTGCTTAAAAAAAGCCTCATTATCTCGACAAAGACTGAAATACTGGTTGGCAAGGTTCCTCTCCTCAAAGATACACTCAGTAGAAAGGGGGTCCCGATCCAAATTTTCTTGGGCTATTTCCCATTGAGCCCGGGCCTCAATTACCCTGCTGGAGCTATGGCTAGAAACCCTAATATGTAAAGATTTGAGCTTCTGTTTCAATAACCCCAATTTCCGGCTAAGACGGAACATAGGATTGCCTACAATGGGCTCGTCCCAAACTGCCTGAACAATATCCATAAAATTTGCATGATCAGCCCAAAAATTTAGAAATTTAAAAGGGGATGGTACCTTCCCACGGCGGGGACCAAACCGGACAACCATAGAACTATGATCTGAGACATCTTGAGGTCGAAACTCTGAAACTATGGTTGGACGATCAATGAACTAATAAAGCGATGCAAAGACCCAATCGACCTTCCGTAGAATAATCCCATCGCCATGCTGACTATTATGGCAAGTATACCGAAGCCTAGTAAAAGGAACCCCAATCAACTCAACATCATGAATACAGTATCCAAAATCATCCATATAACCATACCACGCAAGATCACCACCCATTCTATTAGAAGCTCCCAAAATGGCATTAAAATCACCCAACACAAGCCATGGTAACCCCTCCGAATCAAACTCCGTCGGCTGATCCCTAAGGCAATCCCACAGGTTGCGATGATTCCCAAGGTCGTTAGAACCATACACAAAAGTAATCCTAAAGGAGGACCCCTTTGAAACATGAGTAACCCTGCAAGTGACCTCCTAAAGAGAGAAATGAAGGCTATTTATGGAGTAAAGAGAAAGATCCCAACATACTAGAACTCGGCAAGCAATAGAATCCGTCGCATTTAACAAAAACTGCCATGAAGGACAAACTACTGAGACCACCGACTGTAGATGAGACTGCTCAACCTTAGTCTCTAACAAGCCAATCAAACCCAAAGAAGAATCAGAAATCCAATTCCTCACCGCGCGTTGTTTCGAGAAGCCATTAAGGCCTCTAATATTCCAACTCCCTATCATTGGAATGGGGAAAGAAACAAGCTAGACAATCACTTGGGCCTAGGCCCCTGCTTTCCTCGACCTTTCCCCTTTACCAGGGGTGGCAGGGAAACTGATCCAGATAAGATGGCATCTGGTGTCTGGAGATCATCACTATGCAGAACAAGCGAGGCAAACCTATTGGAGGAAGTAGATTGCCTGCTCCTAGAACTCGAAAAGGAAGCCTAAGTGTTTTCCGTGTAGTTTGTGAAGCTCATAATACGGTCCTGCTCATCTTCAATAGGAAAAGGCATGTCAAGATCCGACCCAAAATCAAAGTTGGAGAATTCACCTCTACTGGCACGGACAGTCTGCTCATACGGGATCAAAGCCAAAGAAACATCCCCAACTATAGCTACACTAGAATGTATGGTAGTCACCCCATCCGAAACTGAAACCCCAACTGGTGTTAAAACATCCCTCTCATGCTCTCTCTCCCTCTCCCTAATAGGATCAGTAGTAGCTGATTGTCTCAAAGGCTTACGGTCCTTATATCGCATTGCAATACCACTCCCCGATGCCTTTTGGAAGCTAATAACTATCTTACTCTTACCCTGAGCCATAGGTGCAATAGGTACCTCTAGTTAGTGACAAACATGGCCAAAAACACAACATTTGGGGCATTTCTTGGGAGTCCACTCATATTCCACTATAAGCTGAATGGGTTCAGTAGATAACCGACATTGAAATTCAAATTGGCACTTGAGAGGCTTGGCTGCATCTATCTCAACACATACCTGTGCATAATCTAAACGGGTCCGTTCAAAAGTTGTCTTATCACTCGACAACGACCAACCCAACATAGAAGAAACCATGCAAAGTCCTTTGTGAGACCATATCGGATAAGACAGCCCATACCGGAACCTTGGAAATGCAACTTTTATCGAAGGAAAACTGAGCATGCCATTGTTACAAAACAATCGACTTGCCCCCAAACATCCACAGCCCTCTGTCTAGGATTGAATGCATCGCATCCTAGTCCCTAAATCTGAAGATGAAGAAACCAGTACTAATGGACATAACATCCTCCAAACCCGTAGCTTCCCATGCACGAAAAGCAATTGAGCGGGTAGCATGAAATGGCATAGAATACCCCAGGAAATAACCCACAATACAACAAAGCCACTCAACACCGTTGTCATCAATAACATCATCCGGAATATACAAAATGCCATCCTTAATATCAAGGTCCACAGCTTCAAGGGTGAAATAGGACCCGACCTCCGTCACTCTAACTTTATCTACCCAAAAGGAGGACACTGTTGTTGTGCTCTTACCCATACTTTTCTTTTCTAAAAGTGGCTTAGAAACTGACTTTTTTTCACGGGGCTCCAAAGATGCCCAATTCAGCTTAAAAAGCTTCTTAGATTTTGGCATTTTTAAGCCATTAAAAGATTGCAATGAGGAACCTGCAATATCGTTAGATTCAAACTCAAGAAAACCAAAGGAAGAGTTTTTGTGATGAAAAACCTTGGCTCCTTGAATCACCACATTTGAGAAAACGGATAACAAATACTTGTCACCCATCCATGGTTCCAAATCTCCAATCCATAAGGATTTCCCCAAATTTTTGGAAGTTTGCGGCTACTGGGAAGTGGTGGAGGTGGTGTTTAAAGTTTCGGTTTGGGTTGGATGCGGTATAGTGTTATTTGGGGGTGAGGAAATTGGTTCGGGCATTTTGTCGAATACTTGGTGCCAGGGAAAAAAGTGTGTGGTTTTAGTGAGTTGAAAGGTTCAAACAATGGGGATTTGTGAAAAAAGGCCAGGGGTGAAGAGGTTTTGGTGTTGGAAAGGGAAAGTGTTAGTGTATATTAGTGTATGCCCTAAAAACCATTCGTGTTGTCGGTTTCAGAGCATTTTGTCTTGTATCTATATATATATCATAAATAATAGAAGAAAGAGTTCTTCAATTCATATATGTAAATTGCTTCCTTTATTCAGTCATGCATTTAAAATAAAGTATGTATATGAATTGTCCAGATGATTCATTTAATAGGTAAAATGAATTATCGAAAAGGGTTCCTACGGAAGCAATATAATTTGGGAACTATATGCACAGTAGGCATACCGGATGCTTCCGAAAGATATCATGAGTTGATATAAGTACGGATGACGATGATAGTCATGTCACTGGGGCATTGGTATGGATTAACGGTGGTGAGTTTTTCGAACGTGACCGAATAACGACAAATCACTTGGAAAAGCATGTAGTCAATGACTATTCGTTTGGTTATATCAGTGCACGATATAGTCCTTTGACCTGAGACATTGTAGTCGGATCCGATATGGATGCATATGGTTCATACGGTGTATAAGTACGAGACTAATCATGTTTTGTACAATAAAGCCTATTTGGTCATGCTTGTTTCATATGCGGAAACGAACGATGGGTCAAAAAGGGATCCATTGACTCAAAAATATAGGATCGGGAGTACCGTTGACTCCATCTGGATTCGAGTTCCTAGACGAACATCGATAATGTCAGAAAAACTGAATCTCTGGCAGAGTCTATTATTAGTCATACAAAAGCAAGTTTGTGATGACAAGTTCGGACATATTGATCGACGATTCGGTAGAAGATCGAGTTTAGGATTTTGACGTTCCATGAATCCATACTCAATTAGGATATCTCAATGGAGGGACTTTACCTGCATGGTGCGTATGATCTGAAATGGGTTCGATGAAGTATTTCTTCATCGTGGTTAAGGCTATGGCACATTGCTAGATGTTTACTATGTCGTTGGGCCTCTGCAGAGGTTTTCGGATTCATCCAGAATTGGCTCACGGCTAATCCACAATGGACCTACGGTCACACCAATAGCCTTGAGAAGTTAGAGAGGATGAGAGAGAGAAATGATTATCCGAAGAGGGCTAGCACCTTCCGAGAGTAATAACGGGATTTCTATAGTAATGTTACATAGAAATCATTTGTGACATTTTAAGGGTTAAAATGGTCAAGCAATAATTAATTATATTTAATTATATATTCTTAAAGTGTTAAGATTAATGAGAGAACAAAATACCTTTAATAGTTAAAGGGTAAAAAGGGGTAAATTTATGGGTTGTTAATGTAAACTAGTTTAGTTTACATGGAACCTTGAATAATATTGATTTTCAAAGAGTAGCATATAAATTCGTGGGTCCCTTTATAAAATAAGATTTTATTGGGCCTGGAAGTGAAAAATAAATAATGCAATATTGCCCAAGTATATAAGTGCAAAAGGTTGCATTTTTGTTAATTCTTGACTTGTTCACAAAAACACAAACCAAAACTCTCTCTCAAACCCCCAGCCACTCTCTAATCTCTCAAGGTGGTGTTAAAGTGTGGGGTTTCATCCTTTTGAAGCTAATCTCATCGATCCAAAGCAAAGGAGTAGGTATAATTTTCTCAAGCTTGTTTTAAAACCGTTTTCTTGAATCCATTTTTTTTTATGCTTTCTTCTCCATCCACACTCTTCAGCATGCATGCTGTTTTTCAGAAAGGTGGTTGAGAAGGCCAAAAAGTGGTAGGAAGCAGTAGGCGCTGGGTACTCGTGTGGTGCGCAAGTAGCAGGCTTACGCGCAGAGCCTACAGGACAAGGGACTTTTATCGAACAGTTGGAGTGCATGATAAAAGCTTTCTCAAACGTCTACCAAATATGACCAAATTAAAACACTCTCTCCAGAAATCTGCAGACAAAAAAAAACAGCAACAAACCATAAAAAAAACTATTGAAAAAAACACCAAAATCAGGTCCACAAAATGGGCAAAAAAAACCCAACCAAAACACCAAGTACCCAAAAAAAACAGAGGGTTTTGCCAGAAACCAGAGGTCAACTGTTAGAGTAGATGCCCTAGAGCCAATCAATTATTGTAGAATTGACTCTTATAATAATGTTCATAATCAATAAAAGGCATTTTATTATATCGCGTAAATCATATTATTGTAATATGTATTGATATATGTCTTAGAATGGTAGAACCGTGACAAGGTATCAAGTGTTTCAAATCTTGATAGTGAGAACCCTATGAGCACATATGGTAGCCATTCTAGAAACGTCGTAGCCCCATATTATTCTGAAGGGCACAAATAATACGGTAAGGCTATCATAATGTTAAACGACCCTATCGAAAGGCAGTGACTGATCTCACTTGTCAAGGTTGTTTGGTGACAACCTGGTGTAACACATGGGTGCTTGCTGTAGGCGAATACACCGCAGCAAGTTCATTGGACTGACCCACAGAGATCCATATGGATGGTAACCCTAGTGTCTATGGAAAAAATCCTCTGACGATGGTGATGCATGTGCTTAGACTTGAGATCACCAGAGCGCCTTGTACATTGATTGGTGTGTTTGACACTAACCTAACGCAGTTCTTTTCAGAGCTGTCAATACGATGGTGATTGGCTGCATCAAGGAGTGTATCAAGACTATGGTGGATAGACAGAGGATTCATCACTCTAGGTATGGGAAAGTTATCTCATGGCGTAATTCAGTATATGGCAATGACACTAAAACTGTGGCCACAATGGGATTGAGTTATTGCTCTATCCAGTTTATAATACAGGTCATTGGTCCAGAAACTGAATACATAATGTCGAGAGTAACCGAGGTTGACACGATTTCTATGCCTTTGTCTCGTCGAGTAATGTATGATGAAAGGATCAAATTGTACGGAACCATATCGTTGACAGGTAGCTATTGCTGAATCTGAATCTATCAGGTGGCCATGATGCCTTGCTAGGGCCAATCTTGGTATGGTGTATTAGTGAGACGATTAATTGGTGTTAATCGCGATATATACACTATCGGTATGATGAGGAGCCTATGGGTCACACACATAGAAGATAATTTAAGACTCAGGAAGTAAGAAGGGCGTGTTCGGTCTTTTTAGGCGAAAGGGTATTTTGGTAATTTCACAGTGCAATTAAATTTGCTGAGGTCGTAGCCTTTATTTAATTTGTTAGAAAAATTAAATAAGTGAAATTACATTTAAATATGTGTTAGCATATATTTAAATAAATTATCATTATTGTTAAATGTTAATATATATATATTAAATATATATTAATTGATTTTAATTGAGATAATGATGAATTAAAATAAATATCTAATTGGGAGTATTTGGAAACAATGGGTGTTTGGGTTGGAGCCCAAACCTATTCCATATGGGAATAGGGCAATTATATTTTACTATAAAAGAAAAAGGTTATTTGTAAAATGCAAGAGAGAATTTCATTTTAACTCATTCATTGTAAAAGAGAAAACACACAGCCCTTTTCTCTCTCTCCCACGCCAGAGTTGGTTTTGATTGAAAATCAAAATACTCTTCATTTCTTCTTGTTTCTTAAGGCTAAAGAGGGATCTAGCAAATCCTTCCTTAGTTTCTTGCGATTGTCTTCGTGTGGACTACGTCGGTTCGATCCTATACTTGGGTCGGTAGCAAAATACATTCAAAGACAACTTGGAGGATCCTCCAAAACGTGCGTATGATTTCTTAAACTCTAGATTAATTTTCTGCAGATTCTTATTTGGTATAAACTGTAAAATTGTACATTGATCTTGGTTCTATGGAACGATC